TTAAGCCGCACGAATGGAACACCCTCTGATTTTTCAACGGAGAAAACCGGCTCTCGCGCTCTCCTCTCCACTCCTCTCCCTTCGTTTCTCAGCTTCCGGCTCGCGCGATTTAGAACAGATTAAAATTTCCCGCCCTTTCGCGATTCGAATACCTCGCGATCTTTTTCGCGGCGGCGGCGGCGGCCCTTTTTCGAAAAGCTTTCGCGCGAGTCTCGGCTTCGCGAGAGAATTGTCTTGCTAAAAAGTTCGCTTTTTCCACGGCCGGAACACCGCGGAATTCTTTCGAATTCCGATCCCCGCGAAACCATGAGTCCCGATCGAATGATTTCGAACGAATTAGTTCGAACAGACGAATGTGTTTAACGATTAATTAAACGGCCGGCACGGTCCGCTCGGCACAATTTGCCCGTAAATCGAACGAGAATTATCCGAAAGAACCGTTTCCCGGGACGCGCAGCTCGATGTTAACGAGACGAACGATAATTAGCGTCTCTGGCTGGCAGCGCTTTTTCCACGGAAAGTTTATCAGCGAGCATTGAACTTGCATCGGGGGATCGGCGATCGGCCCGAGCAAGGTAATTAGGTCTCGCGGAACCTGTTTCTCCTCCCCTTTGGCCTATTCGATGCCCGAGGAATCGCGAAACCGGAAGTCGAGGCGAGGCAACGCGACGTCGAGACGTCGAGACGGAGAGGAACGTTGCTCCGGCCCCTTTCAAGCCGAAGAAAACTTCAATTGAACACGTCGCCGATCTTTCTCCTCTCTCCAGGGAATTTTTTAATTATCCTATCCTGTAGAACCGGTGATCATCGATTTTCTATTTTATTTATTACAGCGGAAAATTGCATGCAGAAGAGCTTCCGCCGCGACGCCGGTGCTTTTTTCCGATTAAACTCGTTTTCTCGATTATTTGGTACTTTTTGCCGCGATTCGAATTACTTTATTTCGCAGGCGTTTCAGCCTCCATTTTATATCTGATTTTTCACCGGCGCGGCGGCGAAGGAACGGAATTGCGTGCAAAATAAAATGCTCCGATCTTCGCGGGTTCTGCTCGTTATTTTTTTAGCGATTTAAAATAACAAGAGGAACGGTTTCAACACTTTTCAAGAGGAATATATTCGAGAGGAATGCTCGCGCGATAATAGCGACGGAGGTCTCGCACCGCCATAATTCGGCTATCAAGCTAAGACTTCGATCGGCGAGGCTAATTGCCATGAAAATCCCATTATGTTCGGTGACGTCAGCCGTTGGAGCAATCTTATCGACATTGAACGATCGATTGATCAAATTGCCTAAAAGAGGCCAGAAACACGGCCGCGAAACATCAATGCCGACGCCGGTAATTATACGCGACTAATTAATTACCACAATTAATGAGAACAGGAGAATGTAGCGTCAAGGATTGCCATTTAGGTAATTGATTTGTTTCCGATACTCGGCCCTTTAATGCCCTCGTCATTAAAGACAAACTGCCGGAATAAATCAGAGTTAACCGCGCCTTAAATCCTCGCCGGTTTACCTTCGCGAAAGACGGACTCGCGAATCGTAGGAAATCACAGTTCAATGATCGACGTCGAATTCTCTCGCGATCGCTTCCGACGTGTCTCCGAGCAGAACATATTCGGAACAACTCCGCGATATTCAACTATCGAGATCAAAATGTCAAAATCTTTCTCGAGGAGCAAGCAACGACGACGGCGAGTCGGTTCCATGTTCGATTCTATCGTCGGAGGACTACGGAAGAAAAACGACTGCGTCGAAGAAGCAGGAGAAAGCGGTTCCGAAGGAGAAGCCTGACTAATTGTAAGTGTCGAAAGGATTCGGTTGGTCGTCGCCAAGGCAGGGCAACCGAACAAACAGGTTCTAGGCAAAGAGACCGGGTCAGTTGTGCGGGCCATTCATTTCCGGTCGGCCATTGTTTCGGGCCGAACTGTACATTCGGTTGGCCAAGCTCTTTTTCCGTTTACGAACGGAATAAAACGAACGACTCTGCTCCGCTCCGCTCCGATCTGGTCTGGTCTGCTCTGCTCTGCTTTGCTCGACTCGCGCGTATATTCCACGGTTGTTTGCCGCGGTTACGTGCACTTCGGAAGCCTTTTAGCGCACTCCAGTTACTCTCTTTCCCCGCAATTAAATCTTTTCGCCGGCCACCCGCACCGTTTGTCTTCCACTGCCGTCACGTGACCCTCCGGCACGAATAAAGCCAGCTAATTGAGGCGAGGCTGTCTATCCTGCCTGCCCCCGCAGTCGCAGGTATCGCGGTGCACCCGTTAACCCGCGGATTCGACCCGAGGACCGGTCGACGAGTCCCTATGATCGCTTCGTTTCGTCGCCCTGCTCCTCGATTATCGCTCGATCTTCATTACCGTTTAACCACGCGAAGTGCAACTCCGCTGAAAATCGACCGTTTCGCAGTCTCCTCGCGTCGAGGATCTCGAATTTTCTTTTTAGCTCGTTTTTCCTATCTCATTTTTCGAATAGTTCCGAGCGAAACTTGAATTCGTCACGGATGTCTAGCATCTAATGATTTTTAAATCGATGGCCTCGTTAACTCGCCGCCGCTGCCGCCGCCGCCGCCGTGAAAGGTAACGAAAGACTGTATTTAATTTAATCATGGTTTCAGTTTATCTCCCGTTTGCGTCAGATTGATTCAAAGCGGGCATCGAACGTTTAATTAAAATCCTATGAAGTCCTGGCCGACGAGAAAGCAATTTAATTTCAATTTTCGAACATGGATCGAGGTTCCGGCGAGAAAATTAAACGAAATTTCATAATTCGAAACGTTGATGCACGACGGAAGATGTTTCATTCGGTTCTGTAATCAATTTCAGCGCGTGCCTTTGTTAAGGAACGGCGAATAGGAAATGAACGGATTTAAGGAAACAAGCGACACGTAACCCGTTCGTTCTAATACTCTTTCTCTCTCCCTCTAGCTCCATCTCTCTCTCTCTCTCTCTCTCTCTTTCTCTCCGTCTCTGTTTCCTTCGCTGCCCGAATTCGGCACACGTGAGAACACGCAACCAAGCCCGTAGCGCAGAGTTTCGAATCATTCCCTCCTCTTTTTAGCCTCGGGCGCTATTGTGGCCGGTGAAAAGCTGCGCCCCCATTGGCACATTTCGGCCGAACGTCTCCGAGTAATCTGCATCCCCGGTGCAATGATAATGCACCTGAGACGCGAAGCTCGTTCCTTCGCGAGACTTTCTCGACACTGTGTTTTCCAAAGCCGTTGTCTCACGCTGAAATATCAATCTGGAATATCTTCGTCGTCTTCCCGGCGATAATAACGTCGTCAATTTTTCTACGCAACACGAGATATTTGTTTTTCCAACATTACGCGTATCGACAACTCGAAATATATTTCGTAGAATCGCTTCAATTTTTAATCATAGTCTATTCTTCTGCCACGACAGATTTGGCGGATACCTAAGCTTTTTTGTCTGTATTTTCATTATAGCAAACCGGTTCATAAAGAAATAACAAGGTTGCACGGCTGCTCGATTAAGATCGTTCGTTAAGATCTAGAGATAGGGAGAGAGAGAGAGAGAGCGAGGGGGAGAGGGAGACGGAGAGGGAGACACAACGGTGTCTGTAAATTGGATGCGAAAGAAATATTCGGTCGGCCGTCGAGACGCAGTATTAGGCGCGTCGATCAGGATGATCGATCGTCGATGGCAGGGAGAGGCAGGGAGAAAGGCGTGGAAACGCGATTTTCCTCGGGTTTATTCGCGGCCGAGACTCGGCACGGCTCGGCTCGGCTCCGCTCCGGTCATTTGTCTTTCCCGGATCGGAAGAGAGTCGACCCTTCCCTTGGAAAATAGTTTCCGGTTTCCTCGGGGCTAGCATCCGGTCGCATTCCCGCGTTTACTCGGCCCGTAATTGATCCCGGTATCGGTTTACCGAAACGATTTACCGAGGATACGGCCCTGGCCCGCGCGGCCCGTGTAACTTTCGTTGTCGGATTAATTGGACACGTTAATTGGTCTATTCGGTGACGAGTAATTTCGCGTTTTGTTGCTCAATTAAACGGAACGCGGCGCGCGGCGGTCTTTCGGGCTCCGATGTAAATGGAATTCGAAAACGATGCCGGACACGTCCGGCGCAGTACCGTTCCGAATTATGCTAGTTTACGAAACTCTGTTTTTTCGAAGACTCTGCCCTTTCCGAATCGAGGTTACTTAGCTCGAACGATAGACTGAAAATATTCCGGGCGTTCCGAATAATATAAATATGAAAATAGAGATAAAAACGGAAGCCTGTATAGAGATTAAACGTTCGCGTATAAATAAACTTGACATAATTAGCGGGGACGAAGGCGCGACCGGAAGACGACAGTCGTCGAGAAAACGTAGAAGATAAGCGTTCGCTTTCGAAGCGGCTTCGATCGTTCGATAAACTTGGGGACCGCTCTCTGCAACACTAATCTGTACAGCCTCTAAACAATCATGAACCATTTGGTAAGCTAATAGGTCGGGTCCGGGGGCTGCATGCATCGCTTTGACACGTCCCGCTAAAATTGGGCGCGCATAAAGGCCACCATAAATGAGCTGATTTCACGTGGACGCATTAATCGCTGTTTGGCGAACTGATTAAAGTAATCACGCGGCACCCACTCCAGCGGCTCGTTAGTGCCTCTATGAATTTTCCGGTCGTGCCGGAAAATATCGGAGGCGGTAATATTCGCCGCGCGTACACCAAATCATTTTCCTCTATTCGTAACAGGTAATCTCCTCCTTTGGAATTCGTTGAATACGATGCTAAACCGTGGCCAAACACGTTCGCGAAATTTTTTCAATGAAAAACCCTCGAAACGCGGCCCCGTTCGGATTAGTTTTAATCGCGCGAGGATCAACGACACAAAATTCCGTTTCGAAAATAAATCTCCGTCTAGCTAGAATACGACGATAATAATGATAATATTAACGCGGTTCGATGAATTCGAAGATTAATTTGATAAATCGTGTAACCGTTTAGATAAGTTACTCGATGACTTGTTCGTTTTCAGGATTGCTGGAACAGTTTCGAGCACCGACGATATGTTGTACGGGAAGCCAAGGCAGGATCGGGATCAACGATATCCAGGGACCTTTCGGTTCGCTCTCCTACGACAATTACTTCATCTGTGCGGCAATAAATAGACGAGTGAAACCGATATCGCGACCGATCTACATCACGCGATCGTCTGTTCTCGTTTACAAAATGTATCGACATATTCCTTTCTCCGCTCCGGTGATCTACTTCTCGAGTATCCTATTTTGAATGTGTATGCGTACGATCCGTGGAAAACGGAGACGGGCAGACGAACGAGAAGGATCGAAGCTGCGCTCGGGCTGTCGCGAGTGCGCAAATATCGCAAAGTACGTCTTACAAATTGTTCTCATTTATTTTCTTCGTCTTACTCCGTAAATTCGCGTAGAGAGAGAGAGAGAGAGAGAGAGAGAGAGAGAGCCGAGCCATGCGCGTTCGCTTCACTTTCGTCGACAATCGGAAAAATTGCGTCGAACGCCGAGGAAATTAAATCCGTATTAGAACAGGAGAATTTTCCTCGGTCGTTACGTCAAAGTCTAGGAACGAGAATCTCGTCCGGTATACCACTTTTCAGCGATTTCTATGAATTAATTAGACGTGTCAGCAGCTCGTGTCAGAAGTCAGACGTATCTAATCTCTCGGTGGAATTCGCGATACGACTGCAGCGTGAACATTGACACACTTCTCTGTTTACGTCTTGCGTTTGCCGTTCTTGATGATTCTAGACTTATCGCTACTATAATTAACAGGAAGATCGGATGCGAATACGAATCGTTTCAGCGTTCAACGTTTCAACGTTCAAGTTCGAATCGTTTGCTCGGATCGAACCCGGCATTCTCGGCCTCTGGAAACATTCGTTTCGCGTTGCCCTCCACGAATATTTCTACGTTTCCGATTTAATGTTCTCGAAATTCTTCGCGTCTCTCGCGAATCAATTATTTCCATCGATCGGCACGGCCCGACTCTGTTTGCACAGTCTCCGGGTGTTTCCTTTTTTTTCCCCCCCGGGAATACAGAAGCTGAAATCGAGGTAATATTCGATTCCGTTGGAACGACAACGCGAATTCAGCGCGAGCGAGAAATCGCGAACAATTTTCCGCTTGCTTGGGGACTTTAATGTCTGAGACATGGACAGCGAGCGGAGAAGCAGGGGGAGAGGTGGGAGGACAGGCCGGCGGAAAAATCGCGAAGGGCTTCGATTCGATCGGACGTCTTCGGTACTTAAGGTCTCGTGGAAAATGAATGCTCCGTTCTCTCTCTATCGGAGAATCTTCCGACAAAGGTTCCAGGATACTCTGTTGCAATCTTTCTCTCCGGCTCCTTCACCGGACGGACTCCATTTTATTATTGAAGTTGCTCGACCGTTTTCACGTGAATTATCTTCGAAGAACTCCCGTCGCTTCCTGCGGTTCGCACAGAACCGTTGCAATCGTTCTTTCTCCTTTCTCATTATTAATCTTTTATCTTCGGAGCACGCGTTTCGCTTCGCACTCGACGTTGCGATACAATTATTCTCGTTCGCGTGAAAAAGATTTCGGGAAAACAGGGAGCTCGCGAAACTTCGGCATTCCGATTTCTGCTTGAATTCGTTTTTGTTCAAAATTTAATAACGTCAGCTATTATGCATGCTTCGTATAACGTTATATAAATCGATCGTTTCCTCTTGTTTTAGGTTCTGGAAATTTTCACGCGAGAGAAGGACCCCGGTGGTGCAACGATTTACGCGAACGGCGCCCCCCCCCCCCACCCCCAAACATCAACCTCAATTTCGGTAAGTTTTAATCCAATCCGCATTTTAATCGATCGAATTTAAATCTATTAAAGTTTAATGACATTAACTTAATGTATGTACATGAATTTCAATTCAACGAAACGTATTAAACGAACGGGATTAATTTAATTCGAATTTGAGCACATTTCAATTTAATGTTCCGTGAACGAGGATTAGAGTCGCCGCGAAGTAGACGAAGTTTAAGAGTTATTTAAAAAGTTTAGATTAGATTGCTCTAGTCGTCGTTTCGTTCGTTCGTTCGTTCGTTCGTTCGTTCGTTCGCGAAACGTTGTTACGGCCGCGCTGTTGTACGTTCCTTTTGTTATCCTTTATCCGGCTTTTTTTCGCGCAGACATTATTACCGTTCCGTGGGGCGCAATGAATAACACCATTATTATTATTTACTGTCCGAACTATCAGATCCGCGAAAATAAAGCGTTCGCGGCATCTTTCTCGACGCCGTCTCGAGAAAACACGGTGTCGTGCACAAGGTGGAAAATAAATGGGAACGAAGCTGCAACGAAAGTTCAACCGCCATCGAATTCTAATTTCTTGAAAAATTATAATAGTTACGTCCACGATCGCGCTACTAAAAATCCTCGCGAATCTTTGTGCATTGTTTTATCTATTAAACTGTCCGGACGATTGTCTGTCCGAACGTTTCCACGGAAAAACCACCCTGTAGAGTGGCTTCTGCCGACGTCCGGCCAGGGGCGCAATGTTTCTTGGGAAGCGCGGGGCGACGTGACGGGCCAATAAAACCTGAAAAATTACCGTGCAATCTCGGCCACGGATACATCCAGGTAACACGGGTTCGTGGCGCGATGATGGATGCACAGCGCAGCCAACAACTTCCGGCTGGAAAAGTCGACTGCGGGGGTGTAAGAGACGACGGAATAGCGGTAGTAGAAGAAGCAGAAGAAGAAGACGAAGAAGAAGGGAACAGGCACGGACAGGCGGGCAGAGGACGGGGCTCGTCGAAAATTAGAAAATAAAGGTGCACGGGAGAGCAACGGGGGGTCGGGGGGAGGAAAGGGCGGCCTTTATTTGGCCGATCCTTCCTTTATTTTGTCCTCGGATCCCCTTTGTCCCGCGAACGAGCGTTCATCTCGCGGTGCGGGGTAGCCGGGGGGGTGGTCGGCGGTGACGAGGGGGGCGAGGGGAAAGGGGGACGAAGCAACCGCTGGTTAAACACGCGACAAACAGCCGCCGTCTGCTCGAATAATCGCGGCTTCTTGCTCGGCTCACCTTTATTACCATTTACGTTCGCTTGTTTTATCGGCTGCCGCGTCGACAGCCAGTCGACTCGCTGCTGTTTCTTCTCTTTGTCTCCAGGACTTGCTCTTTTCGATCGTCGAAGAGTGCTTAATATACTTTCATTTCGGAATCGAACGCGTCTCGGATCGCCGAATGCGATTTATCGTCGCTGATCGTCGATTTTCGACAACTCGTCGATATTTAAGCTGCTCTAGTATCACGAAGCAGAGGATCGCGATAATCCTGAACCGATTTTAAATCCCGGAACTTCTACTTTTGCTCTAGGCGTCGTTAATTTTCTTCCAACACGTTCTCGCGTAACGCTGGAAAAAGATTACGAATCGAGACGTCTGTAAAATGCATTGAACAATTTTTCTCGCGACCGGCATCCACGTGGATTCGTAGATCGAAGTTTTCCCGCGACAACGAACCCTCGAACTTCAGCGTACGATTTTGTCGTGTCGCTTTATCGAGAGCTTGGAGAGAGCACGGAGCTTCCAGTAATTTTCTTTGAAAGACGGGAACACGCGCGAGAAGCGATCCCTGGCCCTAATTAGAGCAATGAGATTCGTTCTCGACGGTATAATAGCACGCATCGCGTCGAGGAAAGAGGATAGAATGGCCGGTGGCGGAACATGGCAGCTCGAAATTAGTATCGCCGCGGCGAGAACGAGTTTTACGAGACGCGTGTAATTGTCTAGAACGGTGTTAAACTACCTGGAAGATACGTTGGGAGCCACCTTTGAGAAGGATTTACGGTAGTTCTCTATCGTCCACTGTTCCTTCTTCGTTTATTACACGCGAAAACTGTGGGCGGCACGCGATACGTGTTCCTCCTCGTAAAACGGAGAGCGTGGATCATGATGCGCTTGTAATAGACGCCTGACTTTGTTCGAAATAATAAACTGCACGCCCCGGCGAAATGCAACGCGGACGATTCAGCGAAGGCTGCACGGAAACGCTTTATATCAACGGAGCTCGAGTCGATAACATCGATTTAATTCGTCGAGAATCCGGAACAACGTTTGCGAAAATATTCGAATATATTCGAACTCGATATTTATAAATATTAATATACGATCTCGATATATCGAACGCTCCGCGACGATATCAAAGGTGCCAGAGACGCCGAACAATCGAACCGCGATTCAGCGATAAATAATGAAAGAAGGGGAGGGGGGGGGTGGGCGGCGGGAAAAATAAAGAAGTACAATGATCAGCGATAAAATCGCGAGCCAGAGCGCCGTGAAACTTTTGTGAAACCGGATCGCCGATTGGAACTTTCGATCGCCGGTGCATTCCGCCGTGAATTACACCGTATTCGATTCGAGCCCGAACCCGCAACAAAGTGCGGGGTCCGAGCGGTGTTTGTTTAATTTCAATTGGATCAAATTGGATAAAGCACGGCGCGCGATTCGCGGGTTTAAACTTTAATAAGCTTCCGAGAGAGGCGATTCCGCGAGAGCCGCTACGGGCGGTGCAACTCTTTCCGTTTAAATTCATTAAAAAACGCGCGAGTGCCGCCTCTCGCGGCCCTCGAAAATGATTCATTACTGGAAATATTGCTTTCCACTTCGGGCAATGGACGCGGCGGCGCGCGTTGCAGGGTCTCCGCGCGGAAACTCGTTCGCGGTGTTCCGTTGGCCGGGCTCGATTTTACCTCTGTCGACGATTAGCGAAAAATCGGGGGGAGAGCCGGGTTGACACCGTTCTTATTAAAACCGCTGCCAATAATGAGTCACCGTCGATTGTGTCGATTGCTCGCCGAAACAGACGATCGAACCAACGGTCCGTGAACGACAATCGAACCGGCCGATCTCTCTCTCTCTCTCTCTCTCTCTCGTTTTCAACCTGTTCGGCAGGTTGCGAACAGAGAACAGTTACTACAAATAAAACGGCACGCTGCTATTGACGCACTCCGATATCCGTGGTTCTGTCCCTGCTTTTTACGATCGTTCAGTTTCTCAATGAACTCTCGAATAGACGCAAAAATCGTGGCGCGCTTTAAGCCGGCCAATGAAATTCGCGAGAAAGAACGCTGTAATCGGAAGAGCATTTAACTTTTCTGGAACACGCGCGAAGCGAGCGACTATCCGGAAACTTTCGAAATTGTCGCGTGTAAAAACGAAAAAGATCGAGGACGCGAAGATCATCCCCGACGGTCGACGATCGACGGTCGCGTCGTTTCGTAACGTCGCCGGCGGCCGGATAAAAAGGAGAACCGGCGGCGAGCGAATGGGTTAAGTAAGGAATTACGACAGAGGACACTGAACCGGTGAAAGAAAGATACAGGCGACGGTGGATTTAATCGCACGAAACGGTGCTCGACGAAGCAAATCTGCATCGGCCGGTTAACGCTCCGCTCCGGAGGTATACCTACACGCGTGTAAGACACTCGGCGCTGATTCTCGAACAAGAGCACCGGGATTAATAGATCGAGGGCTTTGTCGCGAATTATTACGCTCGTTCGACCGTGACGCGCTTCCTAGAATCGATCTCCGGGCCATCGGATCCGATTAAGACATCGCGATACGTTCAATTCGTCGAGCCGTCTTGTTTACCGAACGTCCGAGCTTTTTCAGATATCGCGTTAATCGAGCGAAGATACGCGGTCGTAGGAAAAAAATGGATCGACGAGGAAAGGCTGGTCGCACGATTCTCGGAAACGCGTCGACGACATTCTCCGTGAACATAGTCGATCCAGGGCTCCAGGGTTAAACAAAAGGGAACGAGCAGAAAATTCGTGCTTCCTTTAGCAACTCCGATAAGCTGGAAACGTCGTGAAAAAGTCTTTCCACCCTTTCAACAAGCGACTGCCACAAATGCCTCGGTTCTAGCCTCGACTAGCTACCATTTTCCAGAATGTTGAGAGCCGCGGTATCGCGAGAGCCGCGAATTCCCGTTAGTCGATAATCGGGTGAAAGGTCGCAACCCCGATCTAATCAACTGCCGAGGAGTCCGCGGCAACAGCGGCGCGTATAAAACTGTGCTCTGTCCGGCGATCGTTCAGTTTTTAGCCAGCCGTTGTAAAGAACAAGCGAAACCGTGCTCGAAATGTCCGGAATCGTTCGATCGTCGTTGATCGTTCTGGCGATCGCGAGCGTCTCGTGGGCGACGGATCAGGATCCCACTTGCGTCCATCCGAGCGGCTACACGGTTTGCCACCGCAAAGGGGTTTTGGTCGACGTGACTCAGCAGGAGTCCGAGGACCGACTGGAGATCGACGACCTGGACCTTCTGGCGGTGAAGGAAGGCGCCTTCAAGAACCTGAAAACCCGACGCCTCAGCTTCGGCCTGGGGAACAAGATCTCCGTGCTGAAGAGGGAGTCGTTCGCCGGATTGAAGAAGTTGGAGCGGCTGGACATGGACAGCAACGTGGTGTCCTTGTCGCCGAACTTGTTCGCCGAGCTGACGCAGCTCAAGTCATTGTCCTTGATCTTTAACAAGATCAATTCCGTTCCCAAGGACTCGTTCGCCGGCCTGGGGAACCTGATGTGGCTGTACCTCGGCCACAACGACGTCGAAGCGATCGCCAAAGACTCTCTGTCCGGGCTGACCTCTTCCCTGTACTTCCTCTGGCTGAACGACAACAAAATCGCCAACATAGAGCCCGGCAGCTTCGGCCACACGCCCGACTTGCAACGCCTTCATCTGGAGAACAATCGACTGACGTCCATCCAGCCCGGCACTTTCAAGGGCCTCCGTCAGCTCGACGGACTCTTCCTGGAGGAGAACCAGCTGACCAGCGTCTCCGCGAAGGACTTCAAGGGTCTGACCGCTCTCAGGATTCTCAAGTTACAGATGAATCGGATCGCCAGCATCGAAGCCGGCGCTTTCGCCGATCTGGGACAGCTGGAGGAGCTGGACCTCAGAAAGAATCAATTGACTCGCGTCGAGGCTGGCTGGCTCGCCGGATTGACCCAGCTGAAGAAGATCGATCTGTCCAACAACAGGATCGGTCAGGTGGACCCTGACGCGTTCTTGGGACTCCCGGCGCTCAAGAATATCAATCTTGATAACAATAACATGACCGATACGAACACCAGACGGTATCTGCGCAGGCATTAGGACTTCGTGGGGTTTCGATAAAAAACGACGCGTAGCTCGAGGTTGCCTACTTTTCGGCTTGCAACCGCCGAAGACAGCGCGTATCGCGAAGCAATCTGTGCGCGCACCTTTCCGCTTCGTGTGCTAAAGCGTCTACGCGCGGCTCGAGGTTAAATTCAAGCAGAATATTTTTGACCAATAAAGTTAATCCAACAATTTCCAAAACTCGCATTTAATGAAACGTTTCGACAACGCGGCCGGACAATGCATAAGCGGCGAACGCGCGAAAGTGATTTTTGTGCCTGACAAACGACGCTCTCTGCGACGAATAATCCGCGATCAGCATCGGCGTGGGCGGGGCCGTTCGTGCGCTTGTAATTTACAAAGTTCCGAGTAATTTCACGCTTTTCAAATTCCCTAACGCAAACCGCTCGGCTTGCGGGTCACGTTGCCGGGCGTCGCGTCGCCGACGGTCGGCGGGTTCCATTCGAATGCAACGACGACGACGACGTCGACGAGGGCCGGTATATTCCGTGGCGCCGCGGCGCAGGATCGTGGCCGTCGTCTCGAGCAGACGCTGTAAATTGTAAATCAAGCTCCGAGCGTCTCCCAGCACTCCGCTTCTGGGATAGAGACTCGCACAAGTATCTGCTTTCTGAAACGATATACGCGTCCCGCTCGGCGCGAATCGCTTAAAAGCCGCACTTTCACCGTCGCGCGGCACCGTATCCGTCGCTCTCGCACCGATCCGATCCGATACGAAACTGGTCTACGCGTCTCGAGAGCTAGTCCTTGTAATAAATATCGGGTGTCGCGCTAAAAGATGACACGTCGTCGAGGTGGCCGCGCGGCCGTAAGCTCGAGCAGAATAACAGGCTCCGAACTTTCCTCCGCGCTTTTCGGCCCGATTACGCTTCGCCGCTGCCAGATAAAGCGATCGGCGCCTCGTTGCTCTGTCTGCGAACCTTCGCGCTAAACAAAGCTCGCCTGCGTCGAATAAAGCTGCGCCTACTTCTCTTGTAGACTCGGTCGACCGAAAGTAGTCTAACGAGATCCTGGCATTCTTCTGTTTTCGCTGTTCTATATTTCGCACGTCCAGTTTTACCATAAGTGGATTCGCGTTGCACTTACGCGAACGCGGCGCCGAATCGAAGGCAAACACGCGTTTAGGCCAGGTTCCCCTGAGCCGAGAATGAATTTGCGGGTCTTCGCGTCGGCTTTGCGTCGAACAAATGGCAGAACCATTTCGAACGTAGACACGTCCTCTCGACTCGGCGCGGAAGAAACGCGGGCAAACTCGTGGAAGGAACGACCCTCCCCTGCCCCCACCGAGAAAACTGCAGAGAAAGATCCAGCCCCGTCTAACTCGGTCTCCTCGAGGTACCAAGCAACGACCCTGAACTTGCGATCCCTCTCCGCGTTTTCCGAGAACGACCCATTTTTCTAGCAGGTTCTCCGGAGGCCCGCGTCGTTCCCGGGTAATTAAGTGACCCCGAAACAGGGCTAATTATTCGAGTGACCGTTCTCCGCCTCGAAAAGGGAAGAAAGGAGACCGGTATAAATCGTTTTCGCGTTCGAGTTAGGGAAACTCCGAGTGAAAGAGAGAGAGAGAGAGAGAGAGAGAGAGAGAGAGAGAGAGAGAGAGAGAGAGGAAACCGGAACACAATGGGCGGAAGGAGGGGCGAGGGACGCGGAACGAGAGGCAGAAAAATTAAAAGGAACCGAAGAGAAAGGAGGAGAATGGTGCCGGCGGAAGAAGGTGGAAAGGAACGGCTGCGAAATGGGCGAGACACCGCGTCTCCCAATGGAAAACCGAGGGTCGATACTCTCTCTCTCTCTCTCTCTCTCTCTGGACGGGGAAAAATATCGCCGATAAATTTCCGGTTGTCGCCGAGATACATACGTAGATACCGGAGATATTTTCTTAGCGCGACGGTTTCTAATATTGCTGGGCAGCCCTCTGCGGCCCTTCCAGAGGCGCGATCGATTTCGACTCGGCTGCCGGCGATATTAAAGACGCCAGATTCGCTCGATAAGCTGCGAAAGACGGGCTCTGCTTTACGAGCAACGCGTTTTCGAGGAGGAAACTCGTTCGGGGACCAGCTGCTTCCGGTCCCTGAGGATGTTTGCGGATCGTTGCTATGGCGGGATCATCCTGTCTGACCTAACCCGGCGTTATCTTCGCTGTATAACGTCTCGCCTCGCCTCGGTCTCTTCCGTCGGGTTTCCAAGTCGTTCCAGCGTTGTACCTACACTGCGGTCATTTATGCAATATTTCTCGGACAAATTGCGGGAAACGCGAGAACGTCTCGTAGAAATCCCTTCGATCTACATAAGCGGAAAAAAATTGCATCGTTTTGCACGTCGTAACGCGAAGCTACTGTAACTCGATTGTTAAAAACGATCTCCGAGCAGAACGCCGGTGTTTCGAATATTTTGCAACGCGGATCGAACGATTCGGACGAATATTTCCTCGTCGCCGAGTAATTTTTGAAAGGGCTGAAACGATTCTAAAAAGACGACGCGAGTGCTGCGTTGGTATAAAAAGAGCTGTTTGAAAATAAAGCTCGGGAAACGCGTCTCCCGAAGGATATTCGAGACTGAAAACGGGGAGAAACGTCGGGCGGCCACGAGAAACAAAACAAAACAGGGCTCTTCGATGGCTTTCACGCGTCGAAGACATCAGAACTTCTCCCGTGTCTTTGTGACCGAACGTTTAACCCATTTCCACCGTAAAAAGGGATCCAACGGTCTTTGACTGTCGCTGTCGAAGCGAGCGTTAGGCTTCAGCGAGTCGAAAGCTTTCGAATGTTACGTGTTCGTTGCATTTCGCGGTTCTTAAAGCCGCGGCGGGGTGGAATTCGTTTGTTAGAAATCCGATTGGCCGAAATCAAAGGGGTAAAATTCAATGCTCGACGCGATCGGAAATCGTATTCGCGATTTTTCAGCGAGAGTTTTGTCTCGACCGTTAATTAGAACGAAGTTTCCCGCCGTGCTTCCGAAAGTGGAATCGACGGAAAAGAATTCGGATTCGATCGATCTCGAGGTTTGCGGCAGCCGTCGACGAAAGGGGACGAGTGCCGAACGATGTTAAAGGTCGAACGGCGAATTATTTGCGAATTTATAATGGTGTTCTTGGAGTTCCGAGGCGCTTTGAAAATCACGACGGAGAATTTTTCGACGCGATCGATTCGGTTCGCGGCGGGCACCCGAAGCGATTGATATTCGACGACACCCGCCATATTTTTCGATTTACATTCGAAATTCGAGGCATATCGTCCGTGACATCTTTTCGAGCGCGCCGCGGACGATTTTCAAGGCTGCCTGGTTCACTCCCACCCGGAGTAACTTTCTAAGGTATCGGTGAAAACCCGAGAAGAGCGATTCTCCTCTCGCCTGCGAGGTCATCGAACGACTGCGAGCGTCCCACTCGCTGGCTATGCAGCCACGAAGCTATTNGGAAACTCCGAGTGAAAGAGAGAGAGAGAGAGAGAGAGAGAGAGAGAGAGAGAGAGAGAGAGAGAGAGGAAACCGGAACACAATGGGCGGAAGGAGGGGCGAGGGACGCGGAACGAGAGGCAGAAAAATTAAAAGGAACCGAAGAGAAAGGAGGAGAATGGTGCCGGCGGAAGAAGGTGGAAAGGAACGGCTGCGAAATGGGCGAGACACCGCGTCTCCCAATGGAAAACCGAGGGTCGATACTCTCTCTCTCTCTCTCTCTCTCTCTGGACGGGGAAAAATATCGCCGATAAATTTCCGGTTGTCGCCGAGATACATACGTAGATACCGGAGATATTTTCTTAGCGCGACGGTTTCTAATATTGCTGGGCAGCCCTCTGCGGCCCTTCCAGAGGCGCGATCGATTTCGACTCGGCTGCCGGCGATATTAAAGACGCCAGATTCGCTCGATAAGCTGCGAAAGACGGGCTCTGCTTTACGAGCAACGCGTTTTCGAGGAGGAAACTCGTTCGGGGACCAGCTGCTTCCGGTCCCTGAGGATGTTTGCGGATCGTTGCTATGGCGGGATCATCCTGTCTGACCTAACCCGGCGTTATCTTCGCTGTATAACGTCTCGCCTCGCCTCGGTCTCTTCCGTCGGGTTTCCAAGTCGTTCCAGCGTTGTACCTACACTGCGGTCATTTATGCAATATTTCTCGGACAAATTGCGGGAAACGCGAGAACGTCTCGTAGAAATCCCTTCGATCTACATAAGCGGAAAAAAATTGCATCGTTTTGCACGTCGTAACGCGAAGCTACTGTAACTCGATTGTTAAAAACGATCTCCGAGCAGAACGCCGGTGTTTCGAATATTTTGCAACGCGGATCGAACGATTCGGACGAATATTTCCTCGTCGCCGAGTAATTTTTGAAAGGGCTGAAACGATTCTAAAAAGACGACGCGAGTGCTGCGTTGGTATAAAAAGAGCTGTTTGAAAATAAAGCTCGGGAAACGCGTCTCCCGAAGGATATTCGAGACTGAAAACGGGGAGAAACGTCGGGCGGCCACGAGAAACAAAACAAAACAGGGCTCTTCGATGGCTTTCACGCGTCGAAGACATCAGAACTTCTCCCGTGTCTTTGTGACCGAACGTTTAACCCATTTCCACCGTAAAAAGGGATCCAACGGTCTTTGACTGTCGCTGTCGAAGCGAGCGTTAGGCTTCAGCGAGTCGAAAGCTTTCGAATGTTACGTGTTCGTTGCATTTCGCGGTTCTTAAAGCCGCGGCGGGGTGGAATTCGTTTGTTAGAAATCCGATTGGCCGAAATCAAAGGGGTAAAATTCAATGCTCGACGCGATCGGAAATCGTATTCGCGATTTTTCAGCGAGAGTTTTGTCTCGACCGTTAATTAGAACGAAGTTTCCCGCCGTGCTTCCGAAAGTGGAATCGACGGAAAAGAATTCGGATTCGATCGATCTCGAGGTTTGCGGCAGCCGTCGACGAAAGGGGACGAGTGCCGAACGATGTTAAAGGTCGAACGGCGAATTATTTGCGAATTTATAATGGTGTTCTTGGAGTTCCGAGGCGCTTTGAAAATCACGACGGAGAATTTTTCGACGCGATCGATTCGGTTCGCGGCGGGCACCCGAAGCGATTGATATTCGACGACACCCGCCATATTTTTCGATTTACATTCGAAATTCGAGGCATATCGTCCGTGACATCTTTTCGAGCGCGCCGCGGACGATTTTCAAGGCTGCCTGGTTCACTCCCACCCGGAGTAAC